AGAGCTATCGCTACCCAAATATGCTTTGAGATCATTCTCATCCCGTGGGGGGCCTCCCACCCTTGAATGCTCTTGCTTGTGTTTCCTTCTGACTTGCATCATCCGCATCCCACGTAAGTTTGACCTTACTGTGCTGCAAGGCATCAGTAACGAAATCATTAGGCTTGTATCCGTCGGGAATCCTGTCACATTCATCTCTGGGGGTATCATTTGAGAAATCTGTTTCGTCCGGGACGAATCTAAGGTCGAAAAAGTTTGCACTGCTCATATATTCAGTCCCATCCACAGCGTCATAAATATGTTTCGCAACGTCTTCAGATGAGCAGATCAGAATGGCGTAAAAGTAACGGAGCCTTTCAAGCTGATATTTTCGTAGATGGACGGAAGCAAACTCGTCCCCTTGATCTTCTTTAATGAGAGAATGTTTGATTTTCTCTTCTTCCTCTTCCTCATCTAAGACCTCACTTCCCAATTCACTATCTCCCAGGTCGCTTTCTTCATCCTCTTTTGTTGAAGCAAAAATTTCCTTGGGCGGCCCCTCCATTTCCTCTCTCTCCATCCTCTGACGCCCAAATTCACTCGGATATATCGAGACTTTATGTATACTCCCTCCAGGTGGCAAAAAGCTCGAGAAGACAGCCATCAAATCTTTCGCGCGAATATTATCCCAATCAAGATTGACAACCGCGATTCGTCTACTGACATCGCCAAGTGGTACATCGCTTTGTTGCTGGTTGGGAAACTGCAGTTCCTCTACCTCATCTTCCACGTCCTCATCCTCCTCAGTCGAACTCTCATCTGATGAAGAGTCGGAGAATTTTTCATCCCTTGCAGGATCGTAACCCCGCTTATCCGCCTTGTGCAGCTTCTTTTCTACTACTGCATCATAATCCACGCTCATATTACTCTCTTCTTCATCACTGTATTTCCCCTCTTCCTTTGCTTCATCCTGTTCGCCTGCCCCATCAATTCTATAGAATCTCTCCAGGTGCTTTTTCGTATCGTCCCTCCTCAACCTCCTCCCGTACCTGTCAACAGCAGCATTTTTTGAAAAATCTTCATCGCGCAGCATGTGCGCAAATCGCTTGTCAAGTTTGACATGTGTATGTTTCTTGCTGGGGAGCCTGTATCGGGGGTCGGTTTGGATGTTGGCGAAGCGCGGATCAGCTGTAAAAATTTCGAAAATGGGTTAGCATGATGGGTACAAAGTACACTATTTTCTGCCATACTTTTGTTCTTGACAGGAACTGAGAGATAGGGTTATATGGTCCGCACATACTTATAACTGGTCCAGTTCTGTGTTTGTCCGTCGAGCGGGATTTTGTCCATTTGGGGGACGCATTCTTGCCCGAGTCGGGCATGGTGACTTTCCAAATATCAATAATATTGGTTATGGACTTAAGGATTTCTCAAAGAAAAAAAAATCATTAAAATTAAAAGGGAATTATTGCAGGGAAAGTATGGGCTACATACACCCTTCTTCTAGGTATTTCTTAACAAGTGTGAAGTAGTTTAAAATTTTTGGTGCTCAGCGGATTCAGAGCTTGACGAAGTACAGAGGACGCTATGCTGGTCCGTGCACTTTTTCTTTTTTTTGTGAATCTTTTCTCCCCGCACAAAGGAATCCCTCACCCTGCCACCCACCGATATTTACGGTACCTCCATGTAAAGTATATCCAAAGAAACCTATATTCATTTCAAATAAGACGATATTTGCTTCATATAAGAAATGGTGTATACGTATAAATTTAAAAACCAGTACCCTCAAACGCCCCTCGACACTAAGGACAAGCAGAGGAAATATCCACATTTGCTGGAAATCGGAAGAAACGTCAGCAAAGCACGTATCTGGATCATCTAACATCCAAAGTAACGCTTCTCAATCCATCTTGACTCTCCCTCATCCTCTATCCGGCCCACTACAGCCTTCACATCGGGATAGACAGCGGTTAATCTCTGCAATCCGCGTTTTCCTGCGGCGAACGTTACAAAGACGATACGGCCTTCGTCTACTCCATGGTCGATGAGGACTCGCACAGCCATCAATGCAGCTCCACCACTTGACATTTGTGGATCAAGCAGTATGACAGCGGCGTGGTCATTGATGTCCTGGGGTAATTTAAGATAATGCAGTTCAGGCTCCCCTGTGCTGTAATTTGTTTGAATGAGAACACGGCCAGTTATGCAGTCAGGAATCGTTCGTTTCAAACCAGTTTCTAGGCAAGAGCCACCGCGAAGGATTGCAACAGCAGATATTGTGCCTGCGGGTCGCAGGCCATGATAGATATGTTGGTCAGGTGTGGCCACTGTAGCGGGGACGAATGGGATGGTATCTAGGGCACTGTCTTATTTCTTAGCTCACAAAACTATTTTTGGATGAAAAAGATAAGCAATAACCAAGAGAAGTCAAGAAATACCGTTCTATCATCAGGCATGCCAGTCGGTCAAAGTAAAACACAAAATCTACTTGTTCTGTATGTGGGTTTTGTAAAATGGTGTTTATACCCACCAACTGCGGCGTCTGGTCCATGATAATAACATTCGCGGATAGGGGTTGCTCTTCAACTTGTTTGCCTAGCCTCTGTAGCTCAAGATAATGGGCTTCAGATTTTTCTCGAAGGTTTCGTTGGATATGCTTGACCACCATATCTGCTTTTGTCAATTCGGATGATCAATGTGAACAACTGAAAAGCCATGGCGCATACCTATGGCGGTCTTATTTTCAATGCCTCGGGGGATAATGATGTCTTCCGCAATGGTCAACTCTGAATTCCTTTGCCTTGTTGAAGGGGAATAATACCAGATATGAGACGTTGAGGCTCAACAAATCGTGTATATGATGGTTTTACAAATTTGAACCATTGCTTGATGACACCGTCTATCGTTCTTCCCCTATCTCGGACGTCTCGCAGAACTTGAATTGCTGTCATTAGTCGTACGATCTTCTGAAAACGAAAAAACGTACACCAGAGCATTTGCGGAGTTTTTCTTACTTCTTCTCCCAAGGCAAACGTCCATATCAGCTTCCACGAAAATCTAATTCCGTTAGCTAGGGAGAGTCAAAATTTACAAGATCTTGCTACATGCCTTGACATCCAGCATATCGGCTACTCTTGAATCCGTGAAAGCTAGTATTCCTTCGAGAATAACAACATGCGGGGAGTATAAAGACGTGGTCCTCTCTTCCCGTTGATGTTTCTCGAAGGAATATATAGGTATTTCTACCTTTCGGCTACAAGGGAATGACTTAATTAGCAAGGAACTACAGACATTAGATTTCCTAGCATCTGTTGCCAGATCTTACCCCTTTTTGAGGGACTGGAGAGTATCCACGAGGAGGTCAAAATCAATCGCGTCCGGAGAATCGAAATCATATTCATTATCATGCGCAATAGCATTTTGCTTGGGGGTAAGGGTTTTATAAAATGAGTCCTTTATTAATATTCCACATTAGTCCTATATGCCACGCCGACATGATGTACCCCATCAATGCTAAATACCATGACGAGAATTACCACCCATGGCAAGTTGAGCGAATTGATGATTTCCAGTGCAACTGATGATTTGCCAGATCCTGAACCGCCTGCAATTCCAATTATGGTCATGTCCGCCCATGGCGGGGAGTATCGGGCTCGGAGCTCCGCCATCGCTAGTATCATACGACTCGAGGGGTTGGAGTTCGTGAAACTACTATGCGACCTTAGTCATGGGTCCTGGGTCTCGAAGTAGTTGGCAATGAAATAACAAGGTAGTCTATTTTCCCCACTCTATGCCATGAACTAAAAATGGGATAGCAATAAGCATTATATGGGAATACAGATAAACATTTGATCCTGTTCATTGTCTCTCAATAGATATTGCGGTCAGCTCAATGGAGGTGGAGGTCATTTGATCACGTGGATATACCAAGGGCTTGGCATTTGCTGAGTCAGAAGAGCCTCGCACGACCTTTTTTTCCTCCTCATTCCAACTCATTCTCATTCCCGTCACCAGACGCTCGCTCTCCAGCTGCCTGTCATCCCATTCCATGGCTTGCGAGCTGAAGGGGCCCTCATCCCGCCAGATATTGATTCTACAGTCCTCCCGCACTCTTCTTGTTGCAAGATCGGGATAGCCAGGTATCAATAATCATGACTTCTGCCAACTTCGTACGTGGCATCCCGTCTGCTTTTTTCGGCACCGTGGGAATACTGAACGTTCCAGATGTCTCCAACCCCTTCTACAACCACGCCAACATGGCATCATTTCGAAAGGAAGGTCGAGGATGTGAAGCCATCAAAGACGTGAGTCCATATTTCCCATATGTTTTCTCTCTTCCTGCTATTTCCTTATGATGTGTTTACAAAAATCAAGTTGGGAATCTCTCTGAAAAACACCTGAAGAGAATATATAACTTGTCCTTCTGATCTCCAAATAATATCCCTTGTATTGTCTTTATTCAGCCTGCCATAAGTATCTAGCTAACCTGTCTATTTTAAAGTGATATCAATTTTCTTGTTATGGATTATCTTGTCGCGAATGGCTACCCATCTGCTGCACAGAAATTTGCTATAGAAGCTAATATCCAACCCAAGCCCGATGTGGAGTCGATCCAAGAACGGGTGGATATTCGAAATGCTATTCATTCGGGAGATATTCAGTCTGCTATCGAGAAATTAAACGAGTTGAACCCTCAGGTACAGCCTTGGCCCTCTTACCTTGCTACTCTCTTATGCCCCTAGATATTTGAGCATATATATCTCCTTGCTATGATTAAATTTGTTTCATGCACCACTCATATACCTCCTCGGTATTGATGAAAAAAACTCATCTTCAGTCCTCAGTATGACCAGCAATCGCTAGTGCTGCTTAATATGCATCATTGCCATAAATTACCCCACCTCTTGCTAACAGGTGACTTGCAGATTTTAGACAATAATCCTTCTCTTCACTTTGCTCTTCTGCGATTACAGCTAGTTGAGTTGATACGGACCAGTACATCCACTCCAAACGGAGACATAACTCCTGCTCTAGACTTTGCGACATCCCATCTCGCTCCTCGAGCACCCACTAATCCACAGTTCCTCGAGGACCTTGAAAGGACACTATCACTCCTTATATTCCCATCTGATAATCTTGCCCCTTCGTTAGCTGCGCTGCTGGACCCGGAGCTCAGGAAAAGCATTGCGAACCGCGTAAATGAAGCCATTTTACAAAGTCAAGGCGCACGGCGTGAGGCTCGCCTACGTAATCTTGTCAAACTCCGGTCTTGGGCAGAACAGAAGGCGCGCGAGGCGAAGAAAGACTTGCCTGAAAAAATAGACATTGGCCTCGAGCAAGACAGGAACAGCAATAATAACAGTAACCAAAACGAAGCCCAAAACGGAGGCACTGATGAAGCTGGTGATGCACTGAACATGAGGAGGTAGATCCAATGATATCTTAGTTCAGCAAACCCCACGCTAACGCTAGCTCGGAACTGTATTCACTTTTCGAGCAATGAAAATGCATCCGATGCGACTTATCTGTTCTGTCTCCTTATATTTTTTCTTTCGGAATTTGTGTCTGTACTTTAGCGCGGCGTTTGGAGTCTTTTATGATTCATGGTTCCAAGGACTGATTCGCCCTGAAAGAGCTAACCGAACTGAAATTCCATTGGAGTTCGAATTATTATATCCTAGAATGTGAGTGCATCCGGCATCGCTCAATGGGCCGATTAGGGATGGCTGTGGAATTGTGTTTCGTCATTTTCACACCTTTACACTCGACTTGCCAATGAGATATTTGTACTTATTTATCGTACTATTTCGATTTTTGGGCAACATCAAATACGTCCCATACAAGTTAATGTTACATATTAATATATATATTCATTCCCTTCATGAAACCAACCCTCCCATATAGATAAAGACCAGAGTCATACATGTGGACATATACAAAGGTTAACGACCTAGCACGAAGAGGGGCTTATGGAACGTAGTCGATCAAATCAAAGTGATAATCAACGCATCAGGCAGGGAAAGCCATCCAAAACAGAATAGAACCAGAAACCGCGAGAACACCGTCTAAAGACTAAAATAAATAATGCCACAGATGAAAAAGGTATGCTCTGAAAGGTTGGACATACAAATGTCAAATGTTTCTTTAAAGAGTTGGTTTGGTGATTGGAATCTCGCCCTCTCGGTCGAAGAGTCAACGGTTCAAGGAAATCTATATTTGACTTGATTGTATAAAGAGGACGGCAAATGGGCTGCCATTATGCCAGTATTTATCAACTTCGAAACGCGTAGGCTAAAAAGAGATATGAGTGAATAGTATTGGTATATAAATAAGTTTGTAGGGTATCGCTCGCATCTATGGAAATCGGGTTTTCATGGCCTTGGCTTATATGTTTATTTTTATATGGCGGAAAGATCCTAAAGAAAATGTTGGCTCGCACAGGGTATAACAATAACATGCTCTTGCTGTTAAAAGCTTGTCATATCTGTATCAACGCACGAGTTAGATACGTTAACGTCCAAGGTTTTCAACCAGTAGGTCATTGTCAAATTCACTGAACGGCATATACAATCATGGAAGGATGGGGACTGTGGCGCTTTTAATTCCAAGTTGAACTTTTCCAGTTTTTCACATACCTCTTCCAAAAATTGCTCTCTTCGACCAATCCATAGCTAACAAAATTCTCGTCCGTAAACTGACGCTCTGGGCGAAATATATACTTCGCCAAAGGTACACCCCCAGCAATCCGCCTCCCCAACTCATTCCATTGAAGTCAAAAATCGCGGCATTGCCAATATATGCCAAACTACCGAGATGTTTGTATTGAAACGCCTTGTAGACAGCTTCGTCCAGGTCGCCGTAGTCTATCTCGTTGGCCTTCATACCAGGCATGGCCTGCGCGATCTTATTGAACTTGAGACCCAGATATTTTCCTTGCTGATTCGCTCTTTGCGCTGTTGCAGGCAATGATGTCAGCTTGGAGTCTATTTGGACGAGGAGCTCACGCAGCTCGTCGAAATCGAGAGTGCCGCTGCGGTCTTTGTCATATTGTTCGAAGAGCCTATCAAGCCGGCGTAGATGGCCAGATGCCTGTGGAAATCTCCTCTTCACACGCTGGGCTACGTTCCGCCATTCCGCGAAAGTGAGGTGGACTTTTTCTGGGTCTTTGCCCTTTTCCCAGGCGATGGTTCGAAGGAAAGTTATGATATGGTCTGCCACGTTGTTTTGGACGCTAGAGCAGTCTCCGATGGCATATACATCACCCATTGGGGTGCCATTCACACGGAGATGGGAATCCGTTAGGAGAGTAAGCTTGTTGGTCTGAGAATTGAGTTTCTCAGCGAGCTGTTTACAGAATGTGGATTGTGCTGCGTTATTGTACGGAAGTTAGAGAACAACAAATATGTGCGCTTGGAAAGGGTTTTTACTGACAAACCCCTGTCGACCACAAACAGAATCCCATGGGAAGCTCTTTTAAAATTGGCTTTCCGTCTTCAATCTGTGTGAAAAGTATTTTGTCTTTCTTCACTTCCTTGACCCGCGAGTTTGTAAGGACGTCGACTTGATCATTTGCAAACCGTCGCTATCAAAGTCAGGACGCAATGACTGAATTATCGTAAAGGCTCAAACATACCTCTGCATACTCAGATAGGGTTTGATCATATGTATTGAGAATATGAGAACGGCTGATGAAATCAATTAATAATTGTATATGGGCTAGCTTAGTAGACCGAAAAATACCTTTGAATGAGATGAACGGAGATTTCGTTCCTCAGTATCCGAGGAAACGATCTCAACAAATCTTCGTTGAGCATATCAAAAATTTCCGCGGCAAATTCAACTCCCGTAGGCCCTCCACCACATACCACGAATGAAAGAAGCCTTCTACGCTCCTCATCACTCGTTGAAGGGAGACAGGCAAGTTCTAGATTGTCTAGAACTTTATTTTTGATTTTCCTCGCATCATCAATGGATTTCAGGAAATTGCAGTGTTCAAGGCCTTTTACTCCATGTGGATTTGTGGTTGAACCTTGGTATTCCGTCAATAACAATGTGCGACAGGAGGAGTGATGGACAAGATCATTGTAAGGGTAAACCTACCAACACCAATGACCAATTTATCATATGGTAAATAGAAACGCCGTTCTTGTCCATTGCTATCTAGCTGCGATACCTCTACGAGCTTCTCTGAAAATTCAACATCCACCGCCTCTGCGCGGAGGAAATGGCCTCGAACTCGCTGAACAATGGATCTGACCGGCTCGACCAAAGATCTCAAGCCAATTGTTCCAACAGTCGCAGATGGTAGCATGGGTGTAAACAGGAAATAATTTACAGGAGAAACCACTGTGACATGGTAATCTCCTGGACGGAGAGTCTTCAACAGGGACACACTTCCCCAACCCGTTCCTAGGATGACTAGTTTCGGCTTATCGCGTTGTTCTCTCATGGCTTCCGAATCGTGGTCATCAATCAGCACATCCGCGATTGGGAGGTTTTTTGGTCCGCCTAGGCGAGGATTCAACGCCAATTCAGAGACTTGGATGTTATCAAAACTCAAATCATGGCGGTAGGTAGTAGCATCGTAAACGAAAAATCCAACAACTAGAACGCCACCAATAACAACAAATATACCACAGTATGCGAACAAATTGTATATAATCCTCACGGTCCTGCTTCTCTGTTTCAAGGGAGGCTTGGTATGGCCGAAGCGAATTGATATCAGTAATTGGTTGTGGAAGTTAAATGGAACCTTCGTTGAGAGCGGACGGCGCGAGGGACGACGTGGAGTGTGCAAGTATCGTTGATATATAGGTATATCAGTGCCTTGTGACCGCAATGGGAATCTGGAGCGTTGTAAACATGCTCTCGGATGGCTCTGGGTCAACGGGCGCATGATCCGCGTCCGTGTCTGGTGAGGCAGCATGGGAATAGAATCCAGTAGATAGCGTTCTTCATATCCTAACATCAATAGAAAGATGGCGTAGCTGTTGTACGGAGACGAAAGCAAATAGATACCTACGGTTGAGGATTCTCCGCCCTTCCTTGTATGTTGATGGAATGAGCTAGCTAGTCCACCACAGCGCAGCCAGAGGACACGTGACGTCACTCAGGCAACTTGCAACTGACAAGAAGGATGAATTCATAGTGACTACTAGTAGTGAAGAGATTTCCCATTTTAATTATCTCATCTATGATATGCTATATTAACTGTATGTCCATGCATGATAACAAAATTAGCGAAGCTCCAGAGCAGTCGCTAAAAATAATGTGTTAAATATAATACAGCACCACTGAATAAAGTAATTGCCGCAACTCCTTGATAGCTAGGCATCAAACCACTCTCCCCACGAGCCTTGAGAAGATTGCTTTTGATTAATGCTAATAATATATGAATGGAAAAATAAGTATTCGACGTCTGCGATTCAAATCCCCCCAGCCTCTTCTAAAACTCCACACGCCAACTCCTCAATCACTCGCCAGTTCATCGTCGATATCAGTGCTCATTCTCTTTTTGCCAAGGGTTTTACCCCTAGCTTTCTTCTTGGGAGTGCCACCAGCAGAGACAGAGCTCTTGCGCTTTCCCGGTTTCGAATTGCCTGCGGCTGCGAGGAGGATACCTATTTCATCACCCTCTCCTGTGGTGTCATGGCTCCCCCGATCATCGTCTCCAGCCACTTTGAGTTCATCGTCGATCGATAGCAATAGTGCAAAATCTCGACATGTGGTTACCATTGTTTCTGTGCTGTCAATGCAGTGCATGAGATTAGACACCACTTCCCAAAACCGGTCACCAGTGACACCCTGGACTTTTGACGGTGGCCGATTAAGTTCCTTGGAACTTCCCTTCCCTTCCTTTTGCCGCGCATGAAAATTAATGCCGTAAAGACGGCGGAGATACGAACGAGCTTCCCAGAGCATCAGGAGTGAACCCGCTGCAGTAGCCAACTGTCTCAACAACTGACCATCGACTGACTCACCAGCAGCCGCTGCCGCTGATGAAGTAGTAGGGGCGGCAGGAACCTCTTCGGAAACAGGGGACCCATCCATAGTCTGAGATTGTGCTGCGTTTGAGTTGCCATTGATTGGCTCCATCGTGTTTTGGAACAAATCAGTTTCGATTGCATGAGCTACAATTGTTCCTGTTGCAGCAACTATACGCTCAATGCAAGCGATTGTAGGGAGGATTTCCGCAATTTGTGCATACTCAAAGAATGCGATATTTTGAGAGACGAATCTAGACAGGAGCAAGTGCTCTGGGGGATCCTTCGAAACGTCAAGTTTGCGAAGTTCAAAATCGACTTTTGCGTATAGATTGGTAGAAATTTTCTCTGGTACTTGCTATTGCTGACTTTGATGATGTCGAACAGGGGCGCAAGTTTCGAAGTATACGGGCGAACAAAAGCCCCACTTGGATCTCCGACGACATCCCGCTGATAATGAAATGCATCTTGAACTGCTCTCATGTACTCTCGGTCAAACATGGATTCGTGTTGTTCGTGCAGCATTTTGTGAGTGTCAAAGGCTATTTTGCTGATTGTCGGATTTGTGGACGTCTCCAGTGCTACCAATACCCCAGCACATTCTTTGGGGTGAATAAGGCCCTGGCGATTAATACTTGCTATCAGCTCAATAGCCGTCAATGCGTAGGTATCCTGCTTTGAAAGGGCCGCGTGGAGCATGTTTTGGAGAAATTGCTGGGCAATCAATGCTGCTGCTCCATCATTCTCGCTCGCCTTCAAGGAACCGGCCAATCTCGTGGAGCTCTCAGCATCGGCTGCTGAATCACTAGTTTGTACCAACGTCTCAGCCTTCCCTTCATGGATAGAAAAAAACTCTAGGAATGACTTCAAGATGATATTTTGTAAATCCGGGCTGTCTCCCTCGAACACTGAAGATAAAGCCATTCTTGCCTGTTGCTGGCTGTACTGCGCAGGCCAAGTTTGACAGATTGAGCCTAAGCTTTCCAAAGCCATTATTCGCAGTTCAAATGGATACTGAGGAAGAGCAAAGGGGGCTATGAAATTAACCATTAAGCCAGAAACAGACGTGGCCTGCGTCGTAGGAAATGATTGCCTGAAAAAATTATAATATTTTTCCAGATCACAATGCTTCCCAACGCAACCGGCAATTCGAATGTAACTTCTCACCCTCCCTAGAGCATCTGTTTTTGATGAGTTGTCGAAGTTTAGAGTTTTCGCCTGAGCAATACCCTTGAGGACAGATATGGTAAGTTTCACAAGGCGTTCGGTATTTTGTAAAACCCTGTCGATGGTCCAAAGGCATGCCATTACCTCATTAAGCTCGGTCCTAGCTAGCTTCGAAACGCTCTTGAAAAGATCATTTTGAATTTCTTTGAGCAGGGTATTATGGGCGGTAGAAAGGTAAGGTAGAACACATCGATATATGACAACCACAGATCGAAAAAGAAGCAAGTCGTCAGCTGTGGAGAGGTGGCCAATATAGGGATGCAGTGTTTCCAATTGGTCAGGAGTGAAAAGCTTCGCATTCGCTTTGGCGAACACCGTAACAGACTGGAGTAGCGCCTGGAGGGTCGGTTTATTTGGTGAATCTGCATGATCTATGATTCGCTCAAACATTGTAGCCACAATCGCTTTGCACACTTTGAAATTGGCGGATGCGGCCTTCGTGTCGTCGGAGAGTATGGATTTGACAAACTTTTCAAAAGCGGTAACGATTGCATCGCTTTTCTCGACGGACCCGACAATAAGATCAACCAATTCTCCCAAGGAGACTTTGGTTTGAGGTGAATCCTGGATCGAGTCAATTGGATGGTGAAATGGACCAAACCAGATTTCTTCCAAGACTTGGCGAGCTTGTGTAACGACACTGCTTTCCATGTCCGTAATGCGTTGTAACAGATTGTCAGCAATGGCGATTTTCAGGTCTTTACGTGACGTTTGGAGATAAATATCCTTCAAGGAGCCAATGCAGCGTTTTCGAACACCGACAGTTGGGTCTGCTGAGCAAGATAAAATGGTACGACAGCCGTCCTCCTCAAGCGCCGGTCTGAGAGTGATACACTTTGCGATGAGCGAGAGTGCCGAGTCTCGAACCATGGGTGAAGAATCCGTAGAGCATCGGAGAATCAGCGTGGTCACAGAGTCATCACGGTCTAGAAGGGTCGGATCCTTCTCCAACATTTGAATTACGCTTTTCAAGCTTCGGCTTCGGACTTTGGCTTGATCGCTGGTAATGGAGTTTAAAAGAACCTTCAGGATTTTATCGAACGCTTTGCAGAACCCCATATGGAGGAGAGTCAAAAGATATGCGAAACGAGCATGATGTGGACCGATACGTTCAAAGTTACTATCGAAAATTATTAGCCTATGTGTATTTTCTACCTTTAAATGAAGAACACTTACTTGTGAGACTCTAACCATCTGGGGTCTGAAAGCATGTTACGCAGAGTCCGCGCCAGATGGTCGACTGATTCGCCGTCGGAAATATTTCCCCTATTCTCCGGATCGTAATAGAAACTGCATACATTTTTTGCCCACTGAGCAAGAACATAGCCCCGAGCGCTAGAAAGCTGCCAATTTCCGAGATCCCTCTCCTGGAGACTCTCAAGAACTATTCGATATGGCCCATCGACAGACACGACATCTTCTGCATGTAATGACCGATTTAGGTGCTCATCAAATAGCTGCCGCAGATAATCAGATAACTCTGAATCCCCTTCATCCATACTGGGAATTAAATGTTGTACGGAGGAAGTAAGATCAGAAATCGCACATCCCATCCAGCCCAAAAGCTCAAGAGCCATATTTTTGGCGTTTGCGGGGCTCTTATCATGGTCTGCAAGCCCAATCATTTGCGATGCGAGAACTCGCAGCAAAAGCTCTGCAGCTGGCCAATCAGTCGAACCAAGGACACTGACGAGATCTCCGGTAAAAAGATCCAGAAGATTCCTGTATGGCTGATCACCAGTTTTGGTGGATGTCATTGCCCGCTGAACGATAAATTTTGTAATATACTGTGCGCTACGTAAGGCATTATCAAAGAGTGGTTCGACTTTATCTGAAAGTAATTCCAGGGGCGTGCCCCTCCTAGGTCCATCATCATCAGCCTCATCGTCGGTATCTTCACTTTCTGAGCCTTCACCCTGGCCAAATTTCGGAAGAAGTAGACGGCGCTTCGGCCTTCTCGATCCCTTCGAGGATTTTTGTAATGCAGTTGTCTGAACGAGCTGCATTACGAGGGCAGAGAGTAACTGGATATGCTTCCCGTCTATAAGTTTGAATTGCCTAGCGCTCTGCCTTGTAGATGGAAGCTTCTCCAACGACACCAATATTTCATCAAGAATAAAGGGGCGCTGCTCCGGGTATTTTGCGAATATTTTTGCTAGCACATCCATAGAACCCCTTCGAACAGCCTCATACTTTTGGAAGCCCAAGGTTGAATCCCTATCACTATGAGCATTTTCGACAAATATTAGCTTTGTTGCAAGGAATTCAGTGGCCGTGATAGTTCCTTCGGCAACATCAACATTGGAAAGGAAACGAGCTAGCAGGTGTAGCACTTTCTTCGTTTGGTGAACCAAGCCCGCAAGAATGTTCCTATGGGCTGAGAAAAAGGTAAACAGTTCCGCATCTCTACCATTAGGCCGGCATTCAACAACGGGAATGAGGCAATCGTCGAAAACATGGTTGAGGACGTTCGGAATAGCCTGAATAACATCTTCTGGACACAAATCTTTTATCGTCACCTCTCCTGACATTGTATGAAGTAAAGTGCATATTGCCAGCAGCGCGTTGCGCATGTCATCAAGCTTTCTAAGCCACATCTCTGTATCGTCTTCTGCGGGAACGTGCTCTAGTTTTAGATCTGGAGTCTGGGCAGAAATCACGGGGGGTTCACAGAGCTTCTGGATGCGGTTCAAATACTCCGTTGGAATGTCACGAAGTCGTCCATAGCCAGTAACCTTTTGCATCGCTGTTTGGAGCAAAGAGTGTGTCTCAGAAGATAAAACTGGACCAAGACCATCGATCGCTTTCGGAAGTCTAAACATTTTGCTTGACGATTGGTGTTCGGTTGCGGACGTATCTGGTTCAAGTTGATCCTCTGCTTCAAAGACCTCCTGCAAAAGCTCTTGTAATTTTACCAAGGCTGCATCTGCTTCCTCCTTTTGATCTTTTAGACGTAATGCAGCCAATTTCTCGTCGTCCTCGGTGTTCAACTTCCTCCTTTTTGAAGGCGACTGGTCGCAAATATGAACGTATTCATCGGGCTGTGACGACAAAGGCAACGAGGGCACCAACACGACGGGCTTCTGCATAGGCTTCTGCAATCCGAGAGTTGCTTTGGATTCGGTATGATGACTAGATTCTGGAATCCTAGCTGCAGAAACGTTCTCGGTTAAGGTAGGCGACGGTAAGGGTTTCGATACTATTAATTTCTTTTTCGGGCTAGGGGTAACAGGCGATGGGTCTATCATATTCCATTAGTAAATCGGCTGTTGCGGAGTCAATAGCAGGATGATCATACATCGATAACGAACGTCTGTGTTATCTAACACCATCTTTGCGAAGGGCCCAAGGTGACCTCGACTCAACGATTCTGTATCTGGTAGCTGAGCCTTTAGGGAATTGTGAGTCACTCGAGATCGTGATGGTAATTTAAACTCACTAGAATTTCATGTCAGCGGAGCGCAAAGATAAAAAGGGAAAAAACTATTCCATACTATTCAGTCATATCTCCACTCAGTATCTCTTGTAAATGCCGGCGGGTAGTCTCTAGACGAGTAGATTCGCCTGCATTTGCTTGGGTCTCGTCGTCAAGGGTGTCGATAATCTCCCCAGCAGCTTTGCGGTCATGGGTGCTCGATAGGTTTGCGAGTGAAGGTTGGCCGACGTCGGGGCGGAGAATGGAATCTAGTAAAAAGTCAAGGTCAGTGGCAGATTCCAGCTAGATTTAAAAAAATATATATCTATATATCAGTAAAGTGGGCTTACCTAGACCAAAGATAGGGGCGCTTGTCATAGGGGAGAACTGAAGTGCCTCATCAACCGACAATGCTTTGGCAAGCCGTTCGCCAGCACCATTGGAGTTGGAGACGCCATGGCCAGAAATGACCACCTGGATGCTCGGGTTACGAGCTTGTTGCATAGCGGAAATCTTACCAGGAGGTATGCCTGGCAGACGTGGGTGATAGGGTCAATCTCCAAAATCCCCGTTTACTCATAGCTAGCAGGACTCGGGAGTTGGAATCATGGTCAGTCAAGGCTGGTTGTGTTCGTGGTCATGACGCTTAACTCACCATGACGCCGCAATTTTGCCGCGCTCGGCTCCACCTGGATTAAGTTAGCGCTCAGCATTTACCTTTTTGACAAGGCTGATAAGTTACTGCCCTCACTTGCATGGAAAACATGCAAGTTCTCCCGAAAACAAGATGGCGGAAATGTTAATAGATATTTTTTTAGGCCCAAGTCGAGGTATCAACAGGCTTGTTTTTAATTCCCCCGCATCCCCACTTTAACGATAATACATAAATTATCAGGTATGGCCATTAAAAGTTATATGAAGATGTCCCTCCCCACCTTACCACACTCAGGGGTGTGTTGTTGCCTTTGCCTGCACGCCCACAGCGCGACACTTTTAAATCTGCTCTGTATTATCTCTTTGAAACCAGTGGGATTATATTGATATTGTATCTGAATATCTTTGAGAGTCTACCACATTTTTATTCATATCTGATATTTTATATACTAACTAGTCTTTGAATTTGTTTCATCATACTTCTTTCAGAGAACGTAGTCTACTCGATTGCTACTAGTAGTAAACTTCATATTGTGTATTAGTATATATTGACTTTTGTAATAACTATAGATAAGTTAAAACTTGTTTTCAAGGCAGCTAGCTCTAGTATGAGGGATAGCCAGGGGCCAGGGGGTTGGGCAAACACCCCTCTAAATCCACTTTATCCAAGGGTCAAATGAATCTTTATATTCAAGAAGCAAACACATTTTCAGATAGTTGGTAGTATAGCTATGACTGAATGAAACAAAATAGTTATATCAGAAATGTAACTGTAGGGCCCCGCGGTTGGGCGCTACTTACAGTATGTATAGGAAGTCAGCTGTCTTAAATATCTTAGCTAATTCCTTAACTAGTTAGTTAGAGTCAGTTAGCTCACTCGAGCTCTGAAAGCTAGTTACAAGGCTTTGAAAATTTCAGCGTTTCATACATCTTCTGGATAGTTATCTATTATATTGATCATAGATAATATCTGAACATTATTTTTCTTACCTACTTCGTAAATAAATACATTTAAAATATTCACTAGTATTTAAATGAATTCAGTAATATTGGTAATGTTTATTCATGCTTTGCTCGCTATGATTGTTTCTCATTCTTGAGACCACTCGCCAACCTCGCTATGGCCTGTTCCGTAAACATACTAAATATAGTAGTACCTAGATGGAATATCAGAGAAGAACATCAACAATGAGGATGCAAACAACTGAAGAATATTAATCAGCTGTAAACAGTAGTTAGCAATAGTTAATTACCAACCATAATAGGGGATGGTTTAAGAGTAGAAGTGGGAGATTTTATATTAGTATTCTAGAGCTCTCAAATCAGCTTTTATGATAGGTAGTTATGAATTTCTATTATTATGTTAGTGGTGAACTCTTGCATGTCCCGTTCCAAAAATCATCTCCGTAATACAGCACTCTCTGGCTTTGCCTTTAAACCATCCTCATAATATTCTGTCTTCTACCTGTAAATCATTGATATTGTCAGATATCACTAGATATTCATCCCATCGATACCTATAATTGATAGCACTCATTACCAGTGATTGCTGGATCTTCATATCGTTGGTAGATACCAATATCACCAGATCTTTATATCACATGTAGACAGGCAGGAATCTCTATATTTCACTAACATTAACACATAATCTCCATATATATAGAAGCTCTCAACATCATCCATCTTCATAATATAATATTTCGCTATATAGTATAAGGTTTACACCATCAAAGTCTTTTTGATAACACAAAATAACAATATAGAGATAAAGAATTTAAGAATAAATAAGATGCAATAACACAAGATCATTAGTAGTATAGAAGAGATGATTGAGGAGTTAAGGCAGAGATTGATGATGATATAGTTACTACACCGCGCAGTTCATCGACTAAATGGTTGTAGAAAGAAAAAGGGCTGCAAAGCTAACTGTAAGAAGCTAGTGGGTAAATAACGTTACTCCACAAAATGGAGAAGATCGCAAGCACTTGCAAACGACGAGGATGGGCTTGATTAAATGTGCACACAGCTGAATCGGGTTCAAATTTTCGACCAGAAAACCTTTTGGTGTGGTTTAAAATCCCTTGGCAAAAATTTGAATCCCGAAAAAGCCTCAGAAGTCCGAAAATAGTGCGAATCTGAGCAGGAACGTAGAATCCCCTATTCTTCTGTTGTTCAGAGCTTCGAGTACTCTGTAGTTACATCAACAACGCAAAAGTCGGCCAACCGCGTCGCATGTGGCTATGTTTGCCCTTGGCCGCCGCCGTTGAGGGTGGGACCCCTAGTAAAACGATCAACTATATTCTTCTCGTACAAAAGGTTATCAATCATTTATAATCTAAGGACCCTGATTATAAATTTATTAAAAGTATTATAAATGATTTTACATAGATGTAAGTTATTTTTTACTGTGTTATATTTTCCAATGATCTTCCCAGATTTCCCTTTTTGAATGATATTTATCTAGTAATTACCAATATATTTCATCAGTTATACGATTTTATGCCGAAGTGGATTCAAGTACTATTCAAATAGTATTCGAATAACGGGCATCATGCGAAGAGAATGCAGTACATATACCTTGTCTGATGGTACTGGGATGCTTAATCTCTCCGCATGCGGGTAGTTCCAAGATGATGAACACTCCGAGACGGGGAGTAGACGCCGGCGACAAAAATTATGTGTGCGAGGTGAAGAGGAATCCGCCGTGAGTATTTCAAGGCTACAATTATAGATTGATGAAAAGGCAGCATCTCGCACCCCTTGCAAATTTTTACCATGTTGAGCTCTTGACACTCGTTCTCGACTTTCTACATGATATCGCAAATTAACACACGCGTGCCTACTTTCCCTTTCCTTTTTCTCCCTCGGATTTTTTGACCCTATTGTAATATACGCTCGATTCGAGTCAAACTGATTGCACGTCTACTCTTAAACATATTGTGAGGCTCCTCACGGACCTAAGGAGAGGCCTGTCGAAGATCCAATGTCCTCAAAAGAGAGCCATCATACCCTAAGAATGGGCCATAGGAAAGAAAATGAAACCGAAACTCCGCCCAGCAACCATGGTGAAAATTTTCGTACCAGCTCAACCATCATTGACAATAATGGTGCTTCTGGGACGGATGGAGACGAAATGACGGAATTGCAAGTAAAAAGCCTGGTGGGCCTTGCTCGCAGCATGTCCCACGCCTCAGCCCAAAGCAGTCTATGCGCCCAGCACTCTGGCGGTGACATCAACCCCTTCATCGACTCTGAATCCGACCCCGAATTGAACCCCCACAATGAAAATTTTAATTTGCGTAAATGGATGAAATCCATCCTCCGCATTACTTCAAGGGACCCCGAGCGTTATCCCCGTCGCACTGCCGGCGTTTCATTCCGCAACCTGAACGTGCATGGCTATGGCACTGCTGCCGACTACCAAGCCGATGTTGCAAATGTTTGGCTGAAGGCGTATGGAATTGTAAAGCGCTTGGTAGGTTTTGATGAAAAGGTCCGCATCGACATTTTGCGCAATTTCGAAGGTTTAGTGAAGAGTGGAGAGATGCTGGTCGTGTTGGGCCGTCCAGGGAGGTAAGGCGAGCTTCCTATACACCTCGCTGATTGACCTGAGGTTGACTTTTAAAACCAGTGGGTGTTCAACCTTTCTTAAGACTCTAGCGGGTGAGACACATGGGTTATACCTGGGAGAGGGCACTTCAATTGAGTATCAAGGTATCTCTTGGGACCAGATGCATAATAACTTCCGTGGTGAAGCTATCTACCAGGCAGAAACAGAATCACATTTTGCACACTTAACGGCTGGTGATACCCTCTATTTTGCTGCAAAAGCTCCTGCTCCAGCTAATCGGTTCCCTGGTGTCAGTCGCAACCAATATGCGCTGCATATGCGAGATGTTGTCATGGCCATGCTTAACCTCTCTCACACGGTAAACACCAAGGTCGGAAACGAATACATCCCTGGTGTGTCTGGTGGCGAAAGGAAGCGCATTAGTATCGCGGAAACCACTCTTAGTGGGAGTCCACTTCAATGCTGGGACAACAGCACTCGGGGCCTTGATAGTGCTACCGCTCGCACAGTTATAGAGTCGCTACACCTATCTACCAGATATTCCGGCACAACTGCAATTGTAGCTATATATCAAGCGAGCCAAGCTATCTATGATATATTTGATAAGGCAATGGTGTTGTATGAGGGGAGGCAGATCTATTTTGGGAAGACAACTCACGCTAGGAAATATTTTATTGACATGGGGTTTTATTGCCCGGAGCGGCAGACAACGGGGGATTTCCTCACATCCATGACCAACCCAGAGGAGCGATTGGTACGTGAGGGATTTGAGGCGGTTGTTCCGCGTACACCCGACGAGTTCGCAGCAAGATGGCAGCAGAGCCCCGACCGCAAAGCGCTCCTCACGGAGATAGAAGCGTACCAGAAGGAATATCCCTTGAATGCACAGCCTCTTGATCAGTTCAATTCATCTCTCAGTGCTCAGAAATCAAAATTTAACCGAGGCAAATCCCCTTATACTATATCCTACTGGATTCAAATAAGGCTTTGCATATGGAGAGGAGTTCAGCGGCTGAAGGGAGATTTATCCATCACCTTGACATCTATCATCGGCAATATTATCATGGCTTTAGTTGTGGCCTCTATGTTCTATAATTTACCTAATGACACCAGCAGTTTTTTCAGTCGTGGGGCGCTAATCTTCTTCGCTATCATCCTGAATGCGTTGGCAACCACTCTTGAGGTTATGACTCTGTGGCAGCAACGACCAGTTGTGGAAAAGCATCATAAGTACGCGCTATATCGCCCATCTGCTGAAGCGATAAGCTCCATCATCATTGACCTCCCAACAAAACTATGCGTCGCCATCGCATTCAACACGGTTTTGTACTTCATCGCTAACCTACGCCGCACCCCTGGTCACTATTTTGTGTTCCTTTTGTTTTCATTCTCTATTACTTTGACCATGTCGAACATCTTCCGTTTCATTGCTTCGATCTCGAGGACATTTGCCCAGGCCTCTCCTCCAACGATAGTAATTGTTCTTGGAATGGTTATCTATACAGGATTCACTGTTCCTTTGCGAGACATGGTTGTCTGGTTCCGCTGGATAAACTATATTAACCCGATTGGCTATGCTTTCGAGTCGCTGATGATTAATGAATTCCACGACCGTTCATTTCCATGCACAACCTTTATTCCCGCGGGACCTGGCTATGGGGATTTCGACAATCAATTCAAAATTTGTGAGGGTTCGGGTGCTGTCGCAGGGGATACCTTCATCGACGGTGACAAGTTGCTGAATACCTCATATGGGTATTACGCCGAGAATCTATGAAAGAAATTTTGGAATCATCTGTGCCTTTTTCGTCTTTCCTCCTATGCTATACATAGTCGCATCAGAATTGGTGAGCGCGAAGCCGTCTAAGGGTGAGGTTCTTGTATATCGCGCGGCAAGATTCCTACAGGACTGGTTCAAAAGATCGGGAGCAAGAGCATGGATGATCCTGAGACAGGCAAGCAGGCCCACGAGAAACAAAGGATTGAGCAAAATCGAAGCGAAGAGGTTGCTTCAATTGCCAAGCAAATGTCTATCTTCCATTGGGAGAATGTGTGTTATGATATTAAAACTAAAGGCCAATCTAAGCGGCTCTTAGATCAAGTGGATGGCTGGGTAAAACCAGGAGCTTTAACGGCTCTAATGGGGGTTTCTGGTGCGGGGAAAACAACTCTACTTGATGTTTTAGCTAATCGTGTCACAATGGGTGTTGTCACAGGTGAGATGTTAGTTGATGGCCGTCTTCGTGATGCATCCTTTCAGCGGAAAACTGGATATGTGCAACAGGATGATTACCTACACACAGAAACCAGCACTGTCCGCGAATCTTTGGTCTTCAGCGCTCTCCTTCGCCAACCATCTACCACTCCACGTGCCGAGAAAATTGCCTACGTCGAAGAAGTCATCAAGCTTTTAGGCATGCAAGAATACGCCGATGCGGTTGTTGGAGTCCTTGGAGTGGGCTTGAACATAGAGCAACGAAAACGCTTCAGCATCGGGGTCGAAATCGCGGCCAAACCCGACCTGTTACTCTTTTTTGACGAGCCTACGTCTGGCCTTGATAGTCCGACAGCCTGGTCCATCTGCAACTTGATGCGAAAGCTTGCTGACCATGGACAAGCCATCCTGTGCACGATTCACCAACCGTCAGCTTTTTTAATGCAGACATTTGACCAATTGCTCTTTTTGGCCGCCGGAGGGAAAACTGTTTATTTTGGAGACCTCGGGGAGAATATGAGCACATTGGTTGAATATTTCGAGAAAAAGGGAGCCTCCAAATGTCCCCCTGAAGCAAACCCGGCCGAATGGATGCTGGAGGTCATTGGTGCTGCTCCTGGCTCCCATACCGATAAAGACTGGGCAGAAATCTGGAAATCTAGCCCGGAGCGGGTTGAAGTGCGCCGTTCGTTAGCTGCTATGAAGCAGGAATTGTCCCAGAAAAAAAGAGAGTCTCAAGAAGAGATATACTCAGAATTTGCAATGCCGCTGTGGTATCAATATCTGATTTGCCAACAACGGATGCTTCAACACTACTGGCGCAATCCAGTGTACATTTACTCCAAAGCGTTTGTTGCTATTCTTGCGGTAAGTTTGTTGGTCAACGGGTGCAGCCCGTGGCAAAAGTACTGGCCAGCTTGATTTGGCTGCGTTCTCTATTTCTTCGGGTATACAATTACTAATTATTCTATAGCCCCTATTTATTGGCTTTACCTTCTACAATGCCGAGAAAAGTCTCCGGGGATTACAGAATCAACTGTTCGGGATTTTTATGCTTCTGCTTATGTTCCCTACGTTGACGCAACAAAGTATGCCGTTTTACATTGCAATGAGATCGTTATACGAGGTATGGTCAGAAACCCCGTTGTGTAATTTCGAAGAAGCTAACGCCCTTCTCCCGCATAGGTGCGCGAGCGCCCATCAAAAACATACTCGTGGAAGGCTTTCATACTTTCAGCTGTCGTGGTAGAGCTTCCTTGGAACACCCTCATGGCTGTCCCTGCTTTTTTCGCCTGGTACTATCCGATTGGGTTTCAGCGGAATGCCGGGGATGATGTGGCAGGACGTAGCGGTACCATGTTCCTCCTCATATGGATCTTCCTCGTTTATGGCTCTACATTTGGTTCTATGGTAGTTTCAGGAATGGACCTAGCCGAAACAGCTGGCAATATTAGCCAATTGTTATTCTCGATGGCTCTCATCTTCTGCGGGTAGGCACTCAATAATATTTAATCTCTGAAATTTGTGGCAGTTGTTCGCTAATCTTCTAATCATACAGTGTCCTTGCTACCCCGGATGCCATGCCAGGTTTCTGGATCTTCATGTACCGCCTCTCCCCATTCAACTACTTTGTTTCCTCTGTCCTTTCCACGGGGATCGCTGGTGTGGACATCCAGTGTTCCTCCATCGAGCTGTTACGAGTTCCCCCTCCACCAGGAAAGACCTGCTTAGAGTACTTTCAACAATATATGTCATTCGCTGGTGGTCGTCTCCTCAACCCAGACAAAACTGACATGTGTGAGTTTTGTACAGTCATGACAACTGACGATTACCTCAAGCAGGTCAACATATATTTTGCAGACCGCTGGTTCAACATTGGCATTTTGTTCGCATTCATTGCTGTGAATATTGTGGGTGCAGTGTTTTTCTATTGGCTTGTTAGGGTACCAAAGATGGGATGGAAGGCCAAAAAGTCATAAGTCATGTTGACTTTTTTTTCCGTAAGCTGCTGCTGTGCCATGCAGGTACAGAATCCATTCTCCACAGTCAGGCAAGCTAGCTGCCTTCATGGTGAACACATTACATTAGTAAATGGGTTAGCAGTCTACTTCAATTGACATTATTAACATATATGTTGGGCGTAATCAGGCTTAAGAACATAAATAATAGAAAATATTAGCCCATACATCCACGAATTCTAGTCTGCTGGCTATACGCGCGCAGATAGTTTGCTAAGGCTGATGTTGTCTGGTTTGATATCCTTGGGGTTGTCATCCTCTCCTGAGTCCCCAAATACAGCTTGAAAGTGTTATCAAAGCAGACACTGCGGACCCTGGGCTCAATGTCAGGGATAATCAATCATCAGAAGTGCAAGGACACTGAGTGGCATGTTTGATGATGACTGAGGAAAACAGCATGTTGGCAGAGTTTGTTGGATCGCTACTTGTAATCACTGAATGCAGTTTGGGACCAAAGTGAGCTGTATTGGAGCTTTCGTGAAGGAGAAGGTGTCATTGTAAACCAAGATACTTCTTATAGCGTTTTGGTCAGTTTGCTCTTCAGCATTGATGCAGCTGGAATTCTACACACAGCGCACAGGCGGTGGTGTGCAGCTGGAAGGAATGATGGGCCACCACAATATGGAAGATAAGTGAAGTTGCAGATGTACCCTCTTAGACATGAGACCGTTGCTTGTATCTAATTGAATTATGATATCTAAATCGAAAAAAGTACTATGTTATCAATCCCCCCTTTAGACACGCATCGAAAACCACCATGTCCGAATCAACTCGATGCTTTCCCCTCCGCTCTCCGAACAAATATGTCCGCCGTGCAAACCTGACTGCCGCTGACAAAACCCGGAGAAGCCATAGCACACCAGAACTGCCCAGAATGTGACCGGCCTGAGATGATGTATTTTACGTTACAATAGTGCAGATGGAGGGAGCACCGTTTCTACTCCTGCGAAGGATGTGGACACAAGTACGTTCTTCTTCAACCATGCGATGTCGTCGGAATATGAATGTTATCTAAGGTCATATATATTAGTGTATGCTGACTCTAAACTAATTTTTGCAGGTTTATCACAAACAACTGAGCCCCACCCCAAACGCCGGTAGTTCATTGATGAACAATCCCAAACCTAATATAAAGCAAAGATGTTTCCAAAGTTGACTTCCCCACTCAATCCCTCCCCCGAACCTGAGAACTCAATGGCGGTATTACGCCGCCACGGCTTCAGGAATTAGCGCGTACTCCTTTTCTCCGTTCTTCTCGAATTCCGCCATATCAAGCGCAACGATAACACTATCCCTCACCACTTGTTCGGGATCGTCTAAAAACTTCTTTAGTGTCTCCTCCACTCCTTCTTCATCTCCAAGACTCCCAAGAGCTTCAGCAGCCTCATGACGCACCATACTGGCTTCCTCCATATTGTGGAGTGTGGCAGTGAGGCTGGGAATACTAGCAGGATGAGACAATTGGCCAAAAACGAATGCTATCTCATGTCGAAAGAGTGCCGAAGAGTCTCTGAACCCTTCTGCTAGAGCACATACAGCTGGAACAGCGGTCGGAAGGTCGGGAGGTGAAGCAAGATCTCGAAGAGCGAACATCGCACGGTATCTTTGGAAAAGCGGAAGTTTTGGGTCGAGGAGGGTACGTTCTAAATCGGGGATGGATGGCTCATCTGTGGCCATTGGCAGTGGAGGGGCAGGGTCAATTGATGTAAAATCACTTTATATGACAGCACCAAATCCGTTAGCCATGGGGATATATTGTTAGTTAGCGATGCGATATCTGTCTGCAGTTTTACCTTTGTTTAAGCTTCTCGGCTTTGCGTCGACCAGACATTTCCCATTCAATCCTCTCCACAGCAATGTCGCAAGTTTCCCTTACAACATCAGGCTCGTTTTCATCATCCCTCAAATTCCGTAGAAGATCTAGGCTGTCTGAATCACACAGCGCCCCTAGCGCCTCCGCCGCCTCATGCCGACACATCGGATCCTCTCCTCGATTCTCCAACACCTCCCGGAGATAGGGAACTGCAGCTAAGTTTTTAGTCTGGCCCAAGCAGTAAGCAAGTTCATGCTTTAAAAGAGCAGATGGAGATGAGAATGCTGCGGCAATCGCTTGGATCGAAGGTAAACTCTGTTCTGTAGGCGGCTGGAGACAGGCGACATGTTTTAGGGAGAATAAGGCACGGAATCGCCGTGCTAAAGGCTCACTTTCGGAGGTGAGTGTTTTCCTTAAAATTGGGATCGGGCTGATGCTCATGCCCACGCTTGAATTTTCAAGTGGATCCGTTGCGGCCGGCGACATCTTACACAGTGGAATATATTACCGTAGGTATGGTTCCAGGATCTGCAATTCCTAACATGATCGAATATCTCGACCCAAACTCCAACACTTTTTTTTTGGAGGGGCGATGAGGGGCGTGCAAATTACATAAGCGATCATAGCCACTAGTTAGTTAGTTATGACCGACAGGAAACGATTTCAGCGGTGTTTAAAAAATGTGATGTTTCTATTTTTCAACTTCCTCATCCTACCTCTAACCATGTGTTGAAAGCAGAGAATATGGGACAGGTAACGAGTGTATTGATAATGTTGTGAAAGATGTATGTGAAATGTGTTTCGAAGGGTGGGAAGTTCATTAGAGAATGCTTTGAATTCACACGCATAGTACATAGACATATTTACGCATCGGTTTGGGGCTAGGCGAATAGCAGCATCTGTACAGATTAGAAATATATCCCAATTAATCGGTACGCATATCTATCTTTGTTTTGAAAGGCTGCATTTTTATACTTGCTCAAAACGACAAAAAAAAAAAAAAAAAAAAAAAAAATCGATTTGTTACCTAAAAACAGCCTGGTAGTGATACGGCGTCGCACGGTAAAGGAGAGGAGAAAGGAAAAAGTATTGTAACATATATATGCCACAATTAACATCGTCGGCAGACAATATTTGGTTGACAAAATCATTTGAATACAAGTAGACTCAAGATTATATACACTTGAAAAAAGCGAAGGGAGCTCTGAATGTTTTGTTCTATTTAGTTCTGACAATTTTGAGCTTCTTAGGTTCGTGTAAGAAGTTGTTCGCATAGGCTTTGGGGCGGAACGCTCGCTTATTTGGTTCCTGGACAAAATATTCGTATCCTTGCTTTTCCGCAAATGATATCGCATCTTCCTTTGATTTGAAATCTAGATGGGTAGCTTGCATCGCATCCGCTGAAGATTGCCACCCCATCAGCGGATTTTCCCAGCGATGGCCTTTTGACAAAACATCCCAATCCATTCGCCAGTGATGGGTATGCCACGTCCCCGATTGCGTCGCTGGTTTCGAGGGTTGGAAGATCCTGACGGGTTGTTAGTGAAGGGGGGAGGGAATGAACCTGGTCGAATAAACGGATTGTTTCATACCTGACTGTTCGCGCTTGAAGGTCGGTAGGAGCCCCGGATATAACTGCGGCAGCAACGGAACCGCTCGCTTCACTGCCGTCCATAACACGTTTGGGAACAGGGGAGAATAATCTGAGATACCAAGTTAGTCGAACAGAATTAGAACAAAAACACAACGGGGTTCGCCCTACGAGGTGCCGTGGTCAACCGTAGCATTATAATTTGGCTGATGCCGCGCCATCGCCTCTGCAGGAGATTCTTTCCGTATCATTGATCTCCCTCTTGCTACAACACCGGGTGCATCGGCTTGGCTGGTTTTAGGAGCATCCTCGGCTTCTCGTGAGGGCGTCCTGCTGAGATAACGAGCGTTGGTCCGAAATGTCAGTTGACCAGCTCTGAAAGAGACAGCGTTTCGGCCGAGCGGTCTTCCGGTTCGTAATAGAGACATCGCTATGTGGGTTTAAGCTACTAGTAAATAGGAGGAAATGCCACAGGAGAGGGAGGAAACAAGATATTGCATGGTTTGAGGCGTGGCATGTCCTAATTAGGCTAGCGTAGATTCATGGCTCCTCTTTCTCCGAAGCAAGCCAACTGCATCAAAATATTCAAACCTCACATTCCACGACTACAATCGATTTGGGTTCAATTGCTATCGAATCAAAGTACGCCGTTCCTAATATAAAAATTGCTGAATTAGACAGCTCTTATATATTGCAGGTCACTCACGATGAGTTACGTCGCACGTCGCGGTCTCTCGACTCTGATCCCCCCCAAGGTACGGGCTTTCTCAAAATTATCATTGCTCCCGTTAGGTTTCTAACTTCTTTATAGGTTGCTTCTCCTACTGTAAGCTACTATCTGTTCCTAACTCCCCGTTGTTTGCACATATCATGCATGGCGCCTCGTTTCACGCCAACCCTGCACGCAATGCCTGCAAAGCTGGAATCTACAAGCTGGCGAACTTTATCTGGGCTAATACCAGGATAGGGAATTGGAGCAGCCCAAGATGCAGCCCGCATGGAACGCATCGTGGGCTTCTATGAGAAATTACCACGTGGGCCAGCACCCGAAATTAAGCCTACGGGTCTCATCGGACGGTACCAAGCTCGATATTTCGGAAAGAACCCCTCTGCAATGCGTGAGTAAACGTTCAACCTGGCAAATATACATTCCGATTGTTCCCTGGGAGGTTTATTATCATTTCCAAGTTTGAGCAGCACCCTCTGACGAGATGAATTACAGCAATTCTCCATGTTATTGGTGGATTGATGTTTATGGGTTACAGCATGGAGTACTACTTCCATCTTCGTGAGTTCCCCAGTGCCTTACTGCTATACATTCATAGTACTTCCCAGCAAGCTAATTCCTTCGTGAAGGCCACCACAAGAACAATGCCCATTAAATTGTCGTATCCCCAAACCTAAACGAATTGATAAAAATTGGCTTATGGTGCAATCGCATGTACATATAGATATAAACAAATGCAGAATAATTTTCTATCTTGTTACTATATCAAATAAATACCATTATAAATACGATATTTCTCGAGAATTTGACCCAATTCCGTTGTCTCAGCGGAACCCAATTGCCATCATGCATTCATCTGAGGGGATTAAGGCAGAAGGTAGAGAGATAAAATAAGAATGAGAGTGAAAACTGCGTCAACAAGAATCGAATGGGCTTGCTTCAATATATTTTAAGGAGATGGCCGAAGCAGTCACCCATTGTCTCACTTGGTCCTCCGAGAGGTTGGTTGAAAGAAAGAGACTGTAGAATCCTTGTATGGTCTCTCTCAATAGTTATGTTCACCAAAGTTTGGTAATGGTAAATAGCCTCATGTGACCAGCCTTGAATTGGAACCCTGGATTAGAAAGCGCTGTTGGCGTTTACCGCTAACCGTACCATGCATGTCCAGCTTGGCCACAACGTATGGCTCCAACTTCATCCATATTTTCCAAGGCAAGCCCATTTCTTCTAGACATCCGGCCTACTTCACCGGCTTGTATTCTCCGATTCATTATAGAAACGGCTGCCGACCGCCCTTGGCTCATTCCTGCTCGGAAAGGAAGCTGAGCTTCATACCGGAACCTCACCTACTACTCCCACCCCAAACATCCACGTCTTAGCATACTTCGTACTTGGCGACTTTGGTGGTTATCGTGGCGATACTTAGTCCTTGACAAGAGGTATATAAACATTCAAGTTTGCGGTATCCCTAGTACTTAACGTTCTTGTTGTTTTGCTGGTTGGGGAGCGCTAAAGAATGTAAAACCGTCAAACATCCGCAGATTCGAGCATTGTTATGGCAGAGCAGAGCAGCCACGATGTGGTAAACCAAACCCGGTCGGGCGGCGAGATATCGCCTTCCGACGTTCCTGCAAACAAACCCGACAATATCACTGCTGGAGGGGACGCAGGGGTGGTTGAACAACATATTTCCAACAACGACATCAATGACAACGACAACGACAGCAAAGCTCAACAACGACCGAACACAAAAACACGGGAGAACCCGCATAATATTTCTGGTATGCCAGCAGAATTAATACCTGAAATATCAACGGTGCTTGAGAATGAAGCTGTAAGTTTTTGCCTCGGTCTCGGCGCTAGTTGTATTCCGTACTGAACGTACCCCAGAACAAAATTCGCGATAACAATTCAGAAAATTCGAACGATGGAGAGCCAGAAATTAACGGACTTGGGGAAACATCAAATACAGGAGATGATAGACTCTCTCCGCTTCAGCTTGGTGATGCTAGTGGAGGATCCGACACAGATACCAGCAGGACAGATCTTCGATCATCAGCGGATGGGAGCCAACACATGCGCACCAGCTCTGTTAAGAGAACATCCGTATTCAAACCAGTTTCCTACGCCAAGTTTTCGGTTACGAAATCACCGGGACTCTTGCAACATTCTAAGGCAAGTGCTGAAAAGAAGTAGTATATGTACCCATTACTGG